GTGGGTTGAGGCTGCGGTGGCCGCTCCCGGCCACCGCACTCCAGTCTGGGCTACGGAGTGAGACTCCAACTCAAAAAAAACCAACTTTTGGTAGTCTGGGCACAATTGCTCAAGCATGTAATCCCAGCACTCTGGGAGGCTGAGGTGAGAGGATTGCTTGAGCCCAAGGGTTCGAGAACAACCTGGGCAACTTAGCGAGACCTCATCTCTTACAATAAATCAAAAAATTAGCTGGGCATGGTAGCATGCGCCTATAGTTGCGGCTACTTGGAAGGCTGAAGCAGAAGGATCGCCTGAACCCATCAGATTGACGCTGGAGTAACCATGAGCATGCCACTGCACTCCAGCCTGGGTGATGGAGTGAGACTCCAACTCAAAAAAACAAAAAACAAACTTCTGGCATTTTTATTGGGATTCTATTACATTTCTGAATGAAGCTGGGAAGAATGCCTGGTGCCAGTGCTATTTTGGTGCTAAGGTATTATTAGAAAGATAACAGAAGTACAGATTTGAAGAAAAATATGAAAACTTACAGAAAAAAGATTACATTGAAAATACAGATGAATCAACTGCTAGCATTCAGCATGGCATTCAGAGGAATAAAAAGGAATAAGGGCAGTAAAGCCCTACAGAGGGCCGGGCATGGTGTCTGTTATTATAAATAATAATTACACCTATAATCCTACCACCTCGGGATTCCAAGGCAGGAGGATCACTTGAAGCAGTAATGGAGACCAGCCTGAATAATGTAGCAAGACCCTGTCTCTACAAAAAAGAAAAAAAATTAGTTAGCTGTGGGGGCACTTGTATTTCCAGCAATCAGGGAGGCAGAGGCGGGAGGATGGCTTGTGCCAGGAGGTTGAGGGCTGCAGTGAGCTGTGATCACACGACTTCAGCTTGGGCAACAGAGAGAGATATTGTGGAAGGGAGGGAGAGAGCGAAGGAGGGAGGGGAGGGGTACAGGGAAGGTAGGAAGGGAAGGAGGAAAGCAAAAACAAAAAAACTACGGAGATTGATTAAATGGAAGCCATAGAGCTCTGGTACACGACTGTGAAAAGCCTCAGATGTATACTTTTTCCAAAAGCCTCTGATGGACACTCAGATGGACAATTCTCCCTAAATCCTCAGATGAACACTTCTTCTAAATCCTTGGATGGACACTTCTTCCTAAAGCCTCAGATGAACAATTTTCCTAAAGCCTCGGATGGAGACTTCTCCCCTAAAGCCTCTGATGGACAATTCTCCATAAATCCTCCGATTGACAGTTCTTCTAAATCCTCAGATGGATACTTTTCCCAAAAGCCTCAGATGAGCACTTTTTCCTAAAGCTTGGATGGACACTTCTCCTAAAGCCTTGGACAGACAGTTCTTTCTAAAGCCCCGGTCCAGCACTTCTTCCCAGAAGCGTCTCATGGACCCGGCACAGCGGCTAAGGCCTGGAATCCAAGCATTGGAAGGCCGAGGTGGAAGGACTCCTTGAGCCCAGGAGTTGGGAGAGCAGCCAGGGCAACATGGTCAGTCTTGTCTCTACAACAAATTTAACAATTATCCGGGAATGGTGGCACACGCCTGCACTCCAGGTTCCGCAAAAGGATCGCCTGAGGGCAAAGTCCCCCCCCCACCCACACCGCCCCACAGCAGCCTGGGGAAAGTGAGGCCCGGATGAAAACTCAATACACAGAGCCTCGGACGGACACTTCCTGGGCAGGACTGCGTGCCTCACCAGTGGGCAGTGCGGTTCTCAAGCCCGACCCCCCCCGTAAAAAAATAATGTGATTTATTTTCACGATGGATCCTGAGCCATATTTAAATATCCTTTTTCTAAGTCACTTCCTGCTTCTTTGTTTTCTTTCACTAACTTTTTACTTTAACAGCTTCAATTTTTCAAATTCCGACAAAAAAAAAATCCAAATAAAAACCTATAGCCAATCAACAAGTAAAACATACAAAATAATTTTATAAAAACTATAAACCAATCAATAAAATATACAAATAAATTAGTCATATAACCCAATCAATATACAACATATAAAAAACGTTCAAAATAAAAATATAACCTCTAAAATACCTAGCCTATAAAAAAACCAAAAAACGCATACACTATAAAAAATATTTTGTAACTACTTCAATTAGCCTGCTTATTTAAAAAACATCCGCTCTTACAAAAACGTTATTAAAACTGCTTCACTAATCTCCAAGTCTCCTTGTCGTTTTGTAGAACAAAGCTCAATCAAAAAAATACCCCCTACCGATCCCGTTTCCAACACCTCCATCCCCGCTTTCCACCGCCTCCGGAGGCCTGGGCCTCACTTCAGCCGTTCCGGGACCTGCCTCCGTCTCCCGCCGCTTCTCGCGTCCGCCCGGGCCCCTCTGCAATGGAGGAAACCACCACTTAGTCTCCTTGGGCGCCACGGGGACCCGGTCCGAGGCTGGCGGCGGAAGTGGCGTCGGCGGCGCGCCCTTACCGCTTCCGACGCCGCCTGTCCGACGGTTATTCCCTTCCTCGCGGCGGGCGCGCTCGGCGTGAGTGAGTTCCGCGTGCCGGGAGTCCCGGGGCTCCGCGCGGCCCGGCCGGGGAGTGCCCGCCCGTCGTACTCCGGCTCCCGCCTCCTGAGG